AGCCTAATGGATGGCCCTATCATGTAGTCTGAGATCTAATGTGGGAAGATAGCTATGGTATCCTTGCTTTTCTTTGGGGGATAATCCCAAAGAAAGGTGATGCCATGTGGTAGGCACATGAACTCACTCATAGGCAAATACAGTGGATTCCACTTTTTTGGGTCATCAGCTAATGTGGGCAGCCAATTTATGGGAACATTTGTCAGGAAAAGCACAATTTCTATGCAAGTGTGTGAAAGTGTCACTATATTATGGACAAAAATCTGGTTCATTGGGATACGGTCTGGGTGAACTAGAGCCATCTGTCATAGATTGGTTTTTCTACCCTCTCTCTCACACTTCTACACAATGGGTTTGTGACTAAGAGCTGGCTGGCTGCTAAGGCAGTGACCATCTAAAATTGCTTTTGTGGATCTGGCTTTGTTTCCGGACAAGAGGTGGCAGCTTCAACCTGTGTGGAGGATCTGACCATTCCTGATGTTACTAACATAGAACCCTAAATCTTCATTAATGAAAATGCACTGTGCTTCATTGAACATGATGACTCTGAGGATGATATAGTCAAGGGCATCATTGCCAGAGGCCTCACTTAGGGGATGACGCAGATGAGGTGCCTGAGACTTCATAGAAGGTGACTCACATGATCAGGCACATGGTGGACATCCTTCTGTGGTACTTTATTGAGCAGGGTTTGGGTGATGCATGCTGCTCTTTATGATTGTGTAGATGAGGTCTTTAGAAAAGCTTTTGCAGGTATGAAATAAGTAATTATGGACATGTTTCACCCAAGTTTCTTCAATTGTAATTTTTGTTTTTACAGAAGTACAGGGCATTTTTGTCTGGTTTCTTGCTATGCTTTACTCTAAGACACATTCGCGTTATTGGGGCACAGGTCTGTACCATTTTGTCAGCCTTGAAATTCTGACCCCCTTGAATGGCCCCCTTCCTGTGGTTGAAAAAATGGAAATCACTAAGGACCATGTCATGGCTGCATGGGGGATGAGGTAGGTTCTCCCAACCCAGTTGTCAATGGTGGACATGGTCAGTTGGGTTGTATGTAGATGGGCATTGCCTTCATGGTCAATCCTGGGCATCAGTCTCTAATTGCTAAGTATGCTCTCATCTTTTGCACACTGGCATAATACTGTGCATTCATATTATCACCCTTGGGCAGGGAGTTAATGTGGATAATCTCTTACCCTGCCCCTTTGGTCCCAGAATACAGTTGCCATCATCTTCCCAGCTGATGGTGTTGTCTTAAACTTCATGGCCATCAGTGATGATAAATGCTATTAAATGCTCTCTTAATTGCATACTTGTCCATTTAGTCTCAGGCATGTGGTGATGGGCCCAAGTCTTGACACGTGATATGCTGGAGAGAAAGTCCACACCCTATCATTGAAATGATCCACCTGTTTTATGTATATGTTGACCTGGTTTCCCATCTGATCCATATTGAGATCCTTGGGAAGCCACCACCCCAAAACCTTCCTGAAATGAAGATGCAGATACTTGTGTACAATGGTTTCAATGGATCCACAACTGATGCCTATGCTATCCTCTGATTCCTTCAGTGTGATCCTGCAATTTCCCATAAGTTGTATCTTCCACACTCTTTATTGTCATAAATGTGATGAACATGTACAAAGCTCCATTATATACATTGTCACCTGTATTGACTTGTTCTTCCCGGAATCTTTGATACTACTTGTTGACAGTTCATTTTAAGAATGTTGTATTGCCATCCAAAACTGCCAACCTGTCATTCATTCTACCTGTGTTGCAATCTTCTTTCACCTGAAATTTGATAATTATAAGCTAATCCATTTGGATTTTCTTCGCACTAGCCACCATCTTGAAATATCTTAAATCCACTTGTGACATGATTGCTGTTAATAAGTAGTGTTGTCAAGTACAGTGTGTGCTACCATTCTGCAGAAGGGTATCTGTCAGTAATGTATGGTTTGCTGACATTGTAAGACTGTAAGACATTCTGCAAGTATCTCAATAGCAAGATGGTGCATTTCATCCCAAATGATTCATGTATCAACTCATATAAGAAAGTTGAACTTTTGGCTTGCTATATTTCAAAAGTAACATTTTGCTCTGTTTTCATATTTTTTCTTTTTTGGGACTACATTGTTCTCATGCTCATACAATGGAGAAAGCAGGGGTTAATAAATTCCCACTTTGGTCACTGATTTAGCCAGGTGACAGTTACTTTAAGACAGCAGATGTCACACTTGTGACATATTCTCTCATCTAGAAGGGACTAGGGAGCATGCAGTCAATTGAAAATCATTGTATGCTCTCAGCTGGAGTAACATGGATATCCAGGATTTTTAGCAGTTTGTGCTATGCTTCTATAGCCATTTATGTTTCTGTTCTAGGTTAGCCACTCTTTCTCAATTCTGGTCATTGGGATTGGAGTGATGATTGATATAGGTCTAAGTTTTACCTGTTTAAGTCTTGTAAGTGGTTTCAAGATTCCATGAAAGGAATTATGATGTGCCTATCCTTATGTTTGGTCTGTTTCTATTGCTTATTCTCCTATGATAGCAAGCATCAGGAGGCCAAGTTGCACCCAGTCTAGGTATACAAACTAAATCCTAGGTGTAGCATTCTGTCAAGCTACCTAACCAGTAAGAGAATGGTTGAAGTTGAATACTTCCATCCTTCTTCCACCATGCAGCAACAATGTGGGATTCTGTGAACTTCGTTTAGAATGCTCAAATTGGACAAGTTTGCTTCAGCAAACAGCATTGACCTCTGCTGGTTTCATTAATTGTTTTCTTTGTTGTAATTCTGATTTAAGCTTGGCCTTTTGTTTGTCTAATTATGCCACATGTTTACAATGAATGTGGACAATTCCCAAGCAAAGTTAATTTCAGTCTTTCTGCTTAGCACAGTCTATACACCAGAGACAGCTAATAAAATGGTATTTTTTGCCATTTTCTGGTGGTCAGTTTCACTCATAGTTTACTTGTTAACATCTTGGTTTTTTGCTGCCAAAGGGTGGCAGAAAGTATTTTGGGAGAAGTTAGGTTAATCATCCTGTTTTCTTGCATCAGATATATTATAATAATGAAGCCCCACAGATAGGTCCCACTCTACAACTAGGTGCCTGCCACTTTTGCTGTCTGAATCAGACTAAGTCCCTAGACATATTGTATTATGGGAGGGTCCCATATTAAGACATTTACTCATTTTTAATTTATAGGTGATCTCTCACTGTTTGTGCTCATCCCTTGATTAACCTATGTACTAGATAGAAGCAGTCCTATTTTTCACTTAAGTCTCCCTCATTCATATGTCTGTGATTGAGCAAGAGGTGACCCTGGCGTGGCAGGCAATCGGGTACGCCTAGGGTCACAGTGTGACCTCAATCCCAACTATCGTCCTGAGACTCTTGGTGATAGACCAGTCAAAGAGTGCAATGGCAAATCATGCAAAGGGGACCCACAACCCCACTGGGCTCAAGCAAATTAATCTTGACCAGATCTGGGATGATCTCAGGAAGGGCATGGATGAGATCTACGCTGGAGACCACATGGGGAAACCAAGATACATAATACTTTATACGTATCCTTTCCTTTCTTCAAGACTGACTCCTGCAGACAATCAAAGATTTTTCAGAAAAGGAGTTGTCTGAGGAAATGATGGTGGTGCTGAGAAAGTTTCCTCAGGAAGTCACTTGTTGGTGTCTTTGTGGGAAAAGGTTTCAGTCATCTGAAAATTTTGTTTTGTATGTCTGTTGTATTAAAGGTTCCCAGATTTCTATTCCAAAATTTCAGCATGATTTTGCTAACTGCAGCTTAAACCAATTACAAAATTTTTTTAGAGCCTTTAAATTTATCTTGAAAATATGGTGGCAATCATTGCTGTTAGCCTTTTCAATCAGATTATTCTTTGGCTTGTGGGATTTTCTCCTTGACTTGTTAACACAGTCATGTGTACAATTATTGTACAAGTCAACACCAGCAGGTACCTCGGCCTACAACCAAGTCAAAAAGAGGGAGTGGGGCAACTGGAGGTGGTGCCCAGTTTGTTGGCCTTGAGCTATATAAACGGTTAAAAGACTACCTGCAGCACTATCTTGATGAGCTCCAAAAGGTTAGTTGTCTCTTCATGCATTATTGAAATTAGGCTTTTCAAGATATACCTGATGTAGAGCTTGTTTTGAATTGTGGCAAAAAAGGGAGGGTGTGACAAAATGGACGAGGAGGTGTTGAAGTTCTACACGAGTGAATGGGAGAAGTACCAGTTCAGTTCCAAGGTTCTTCATGGGGCATGTAACTACCTCAACAGGTGAGACTGCTTCCTTTTCAGTTGTCAGTTCATTTGGTGGCAAATTGAAATTGTCTGATGGTAGGAAATTTTGTTGGCATGGCACTCGGATGAATATTACTGTGAAACAATAAAATAATTACACTTGCTTTAGATCCCAACCAACCTCATTTCTCAATATAGAAGGATCTGTATGATTCTGATGTAGTCAGGTTAACCTTGGTGAAATTTGAAATAGCAAGGAATTTAATAAATTATCTTTTAAGTGCTGTCCTTTCTTTTTGCATGAGAATATTAAAAAAGTCATGCCTTCATTCCTTTAGTTCAAACCTTAGCATTTTAACTCATGGTTTCTCCTTCATTTGTAACTAGGCATAGACTTCAGGATAGATAGTTAATATATCTTAACAAGAAAATCAAAAGTGTTGCTGAGCTTCTTGGAAACATCAAAAGCAACATAAGGAATGACAAATGCATTGCTGTGCTTTGCTAGACTTTAAAGAAAAACATGTTAGACATTCTTTTCTTTAAAGTTTAAAGTCCCAGAACTTTAAAGTTCTGGGTAGGTGAATGCCTTCTTGTTGCATTTTCATGACATTCATTTGCATCTAATGCTGCTGTTGCAATTAATCTTATTTGATTATCATCATTAGATCAAGGTTAGTATTGGGACTATGTTACCAGCAACAGTTGGGGTAGGAAGCCAGATTCCAACTATTAAAGAAGGGGAGTAAAGTTTTTGGACTTCCCTTAAGTGCAGGATAGAAATATTAAATACAACATTAACTTTTACTGCTGTTCAGGCCATATGGTGTTTGGCACAGTGAACCTCCACCGCTGTTCATGGTAAAGAGAGATTGGCTGGGCATTTAAATCCTTACAGTTAAAGTGTTAAAGACTCAGATTGCTTGAACCATTGCATGGAACCATGCAAAATGGAACTGTAAGAAGAAGACAGTCACCTGATATGGTGACTGATGTATGGCTGTCATATTTGACTTCCCTATATCTAACATGCTTCTTTGCAAAGCCCTACATCCAACACAGCAACTCTCTTGATTTTTTTTATGTTGTGTCTCTTTTCTTGATGATTTCTTTATTTCTCTCTTGCAGTACAGCATTGTATTTGAATTTTCTTTTCTCATTTGACTTGGAAAACCTATAATGTCATCAGTATTGGCTTTTATTACTTCTTTAGGGACTCTTTATTTGTATCATAGCCTTATGTCAACCTTTATTGATAGGATGTAACTAATAATTTCAACCCCTTCCCCCCCCCATTATGTTCACATGATTGCACCAATCCAGTCTCATGCATGTTCCTGATAATTTCTCATTATGATCAAAATCTCCAGAGCATCTTAAAAGGGGAAGTTTGGCAATGATATACTGCATCCTTTCCTGTCTTTGAACTATGTAATGACTGCTCCTCAGGTTTCAGGCAAAGCCAGAATTCTAAGTGATTGAATTTGGTTGGAGATCTTTAACAGTTGAAGGGATAGATTTGGAGAAGCTCTATCCAAACCAACTTGAGAAGTGATTCATCATCATGATGAGTAATAAGAGCTGAAATTAATTTATTTGGCTTAAAGCCAAATATATATTCATGCCTCCCTAAAGATAAGAGAAATATGGGTACACATGTAATCATCACAGACTAGGCTTTGCATGTTGGAAAATAACTTTCTCCTTTGATTGTTGCACTTGTTCATCCCCCTCTTAGGGGTGCAGTGGAGCTTGGGTGGGGTGGATGATGACCAGACTCTTTTTTCCATTGGTGCATGCTATGAGTGGGGCTGAGAGAGCCCCTACAACCCTCTCTCCTCCTCTTGTAATAATACATGAAAGTACCACAATCCTGGTGCATTTTTCAGAATCAACTTCCTTAATATTGGACCCCATCCCTACAAAACCTCAACACATGCCTCTGTCTTCATTGCTAGTGCACTGCTCTCTCCCAGCCCTCATGGTGGTGGGGCCCCTATTCTCTTCTTTACACCATTCTTCACCTTTGCCCCTTCATTTATATGCTCCTGCATGCCCTCCTGTGTTTTATCAACATTTTGTCTAACCATCCCATGAAAATTTACCAAAATTCTCATAATCATGTAAATTTCATTGCAATTCCTTCTAGTGTGCATTGCTAAAATTGTCTCATGTGACATGACCTTTGACATTTTATTGTTGGTATCCAGGCATTGGGTGCGTCGGGAGTGCGATGAAGGCCGAAAGGGCATCTATGAGGTATACCAACTGGCCTTGATCACATGGCGTGATTATCTGTTCCGTCCTTTGAACAAGAAGGTGACAAGTGCAGTGCTGCAGCTCATTGAGCGGGAGCGTTATGGGGAAACCATCAACACTCGCCTTGTCTCAGGGGTCATTAACTGTTATGTAGAATTGGGTGAGTTTCTATTCCCGTTTGCTATGTTTAGGATGAATTCTCTTCTTAGCCCAAGATCTCAAGGATAGTAGGAGGTCCCTAAATCCTGATTGGTGAATTTTGATATTTATTAGGCATGGAGAGAAAGTGACCTTTTTGCATCTTTGTTTTGTTTGTAATCATCTCATTTTGTTGGGTGCAGGTCTGAATGAGGAGGAGCCAGGTGCAAAGGGGCCAATCTTGTCTGTATACAAGGAGTCCTTTGAAACCCCTTTCCTTGAACATACAGAGTGCTTCTATTCCAAAGAGAGCTCTGAATTTCTCCATCAGAATCCAGTCACTGAATACATGAGGAAGGTGAGTTTTGGCACAGGTTTGCAGTTTTTTGTCAGGCAATATATGGCATAGTAGAGGCCCACACAAAGAATCTTCTTATTTAAAAATATTTTCCTATAGCTTTTGGTGCCAAGCAATAAATAAATACCCAGATTTAGGTTCCCTGTCCGTCCTTCAGCCTGGCTTCAAACTGCTCTGGCTGTCAAGATACTATATCCTGTCTTTCCTTTTTTCTCTTTATCACCCATATTCCCATCCCTGTGGGCATTCCATTATCACTAGTACCCTTTTGAGTTTCAATCCTGATACTTCTCTTATTAGTTTGCTTGTGCATCAGGATGTCACATATATAATCAATCTGTACTGTCATTTGTTCGCTGACACTGAACCATCATTTTATTTTGACAGCCAGCTTCTTTTGCAATCAGGCTAAGTATTGTACAGGGTGGTGTAAAAGTAGATATACAGTTAGTTGTTTATTCCTTATTACTTTTCTAGTACATCTCTAACAACCATTTTTATTGCTCTTAAGTCAGGTTCCCAGCCATGATCCTGTAAATGCAGAAGTAAAATGAAATTACAAATGTATGCCTACTTTTACCCCACCCTGAATAACAATATCGTGGTGGTGTTTTTTAAAACTTAATGCTGACCAAGTTTTTCTCTGAAAACATTACATGCAAATATTAGGAATCATAGTTGAACTTATCCCACTTATGAGATGGTGCTATGTAATCTTTTGTTGCAATAGGCCAGTATTATTTTGTGTGAACTGTCAATTTTTGTCTCGAGCTTCATATTGAAAGCTAGGGTGTAACCAAAATACCATATATACAGGGTGGGGTAAAAATAAACAAAGCTGTCATTTTTGGTGAGTCGTCAATTTCATTGTGGGCTGCCAATTCTGATCAAATTAGGTAGGCTTATAGGATGACACAATTGGTGTTTTATACATAAATTCAGCCTTTGGGCTCTAAAATTATACGAACTGTAATTATTATCTGATGACCCACGAGAAAATGTGCTGTCGAAAATATCAATATGAACCTAGACCAGGATGGATGGGAGGACCAAATCCATGACCTCCCATCCCTGCATGATGCTATAGAGGAAGGTTGGGGAGCCCTGCCTCAAGGATTTATTGACCAAGCCATTGATCTGTGGCATCCCAGAATAGAGGCTTCTGTTCAACAGAATAGAGGGCACATTGAGCACCTTATCAGTTGAAATGGACCTACCTAAACCAAATGAGGTGCTTTCTTTTTCACCATTTTTGCATTTTTTTTGTTCTGTTTGCTTGTATGTCTGTTTTGTAGGTTGTGAGAAATTGCAAGTTTAAAGGAAAAATGAATACTTGGTAATGAAAAGTAAATTAAATGCTCACAGTTTTTAGTAATTTTTTATTTGAAACTTGGCAAACAAACTCCAATTGAGTCACCCTATGTGCTTACCAATTTCATAAAAATCTGCATTCTACAATCAGATTGACAGCTCACCAAATCTGATAGTTGTTTTTTTTTTTTGGCCCACCCTGTGTATGTTAAATGTACTAGGGTCAGTCAAATGAGAACAAGAAAATCGTGATGTAAAGTAATTCCCTATTGATGGGTGTCCAATGCTTTCAGTGAATCTTTGCTGAGATTTCGTGAATATCTGTCTTAGCTGGCAACACCATGCGATCAAAAAGAATGGCGCAATCACTTAAGTTGCCTCGTGTGTCCAAGGAAGCCTGGCATGCTATAATTCAATTTCCAACTGCTAAAGGTGTGTCACCCTTCAGAATCCATTCTCAAATGAGTGCTATTGACACCAACAGCTTTTTACAATGGCAGAGCATGTACAAGTGGTGCAAATGTTTCTGAAGCGAGCACAAGAGTTTGAAGGATGACTCACTCCCCGGCCGGGTTTGACAATATCACCACAGAAATTATCACAAAGGTGGATGAACTCATATGAGGACAACAGAAACGTTTCATTGGATGAATTGACTGAAGATTTGGGAATCAGTCTTAGCTCAATTTACTCCATAATCCTTGTCCAGCATAGCATAATGTTTATGCACAGACGATGAAGTGTAGGAGGCATTCATGTGTCGGTTCAAACAGTAACCACATAAATTGTATGAGTCTGATATAAACAATATTGCAAAGTGTTGGAATCTGTGCCTCAACAATGGTGGGGAAATTTTTTTATAAATAATGCACTCACTGCAAGAAAAGTAATAATTCTCGTTTTCATTTGACTGACCCATGTATATCTTTGGTAATGGTGGCTTCCTAGTTGGTATGCCTTCTATTAACCCTCCCTTGACTCCTAAAAAGAAAGAAAGCTTTGCATTCAGCATTTCCTATGTGCAATTCTGTATGTCTGAGAGGTAATGCCCCCTCTCCAAATAAAAATATAGAAGCTAATGTTGTCTGGTGTCCCGTTCTGCTCAAGCTTAGTCATGAGGAAATGTTCAGACTCAACTGAATCATGCTGCTGTGGAGATCTAAACATTATGAATTGTTAATCCATTCAGTTATGGTATAAGCAATAATAACCTTAAAAAATCAACTGAATTCACAGGGAAAAAATACAAGAAGTAAAATATGGAGTATAAGCTAATGAGAGAAGTTAACCCCAATGAAAATAGGTTACTTTATTTTTCATCACTGAGAAAGCATAGATTTCTTGATTTTATCCAATATACCTATTTCATTCAAGTTGCTATATGGGTTTCTCACAAATTGTCAAACTTCAAGACAGAAGTTTGACAAAGTTTGTAGAAGTTTGAAGCATGAATGTGAGTACATTTTCTTTTGCTTGAAAGCTATGACATGTGACCATGTCATTCTGTAACTTATCTCAAAAGCTGTAACTGGTGTATTTCCTTTCATAGCAGGCTCCAGTGATTCAAGATAGCTTGATTCATTGATGCAATTTTTATTCTGAATTAGAAAGCAAGCTCTTTCAGGCAGGTGCTAGTGCAAAAATGCATGTTATGTTGGAGATTCTGATAATAACAGGAGATACAGCTTCAAGTTTCTCAGACAGGTCATTATGAATTCAGATGACATTGGCATCAGCCATGTCCTCAATGATTCCGAGTACCCTTCCAATCAAATCCTTGTTCTCTCCTTTGACCAAGTCATCTTGGACTGCCTTATACAGATCCATGAAGTTACTTTCATTGAGTTGTTCATAAGTGGCAGACCCATCTTTCATGCGCCAGAGCAGTGGCACCACGTGGCAGGCTAGAAGGAATCCCAGCTCTTTGCCCCCTTCAAATTCATTCTTCATTCCATCAAAGTCATACCCATCTGGGATCTCTGTCCCTACAGACTTCAGAATTTCTGCAAATGCTTCATAATAGACCTTCAGTATGTCATCCAGATATGCATCTCGAAATTCTTTGTCAGTTGCAGTGTAGACGAAGTAGGCCACATCCAGGATTGGCTGGGAGTAGACAAGATAATGTGGTTCTATCAATTTAGCTGCCTCTGCTTGGCCATTTGATCCATACTTGAACATGATGTTGATGTTCATGAAGTCACCATAAATTATAGTTGATATGGGACCATGAGGTCGAACAATCTCCTTGTAGCGGCCATAGATGTCTTGGTAGGTATTTAGGTACTTCTGAACTCTTGCGAGCAAGTCAGTCTTCCCTTGTGACTCTAGGAAACCGAGAATATTCTTCATGGACAGGAGGAGGAAAGGCCCAAATTCTGGGAAGATCTCAGGTAGGATTGTTGAGTTTTCCCAGAGAAACTGCTCAATATCCCCTCGCTTTACTTTAGCATTATATGTCAAAGCATGAAACTTGGCCAATTCCTTCAGTGCCAAGATGCATTGGTCATAGCTCAGTGGCTTTGTTGGATCCGTGACCTCAAAGCCAGTGTCTCGCAGATCCTCCATGACGATTGCCTTGGCACCAAATGCAAAACAGGCATCATAGAACTTGGGCCATGCTGGCATCAGTGAATTGCTGGGATCATGTTGTGCTTCCTTGATTTGTCTTGTAAGTTCTGTATAGGCATGAATTTCCCTCCCAAAAGCATTTGTGATGGTAAGTGACTGTTGATAGAATGAGTTTGGGGGGTAGGTCTTGATGATCAGGTGGATAGTTTCCTCTCGGCCATCCTCAGTGTATTTGATGTTTACTGCTGTGGCCAGGATTTGTGCTATGTAGCTGATAACATGTCCATCCTTATGTGGAATCTCTGTCTTGTGTGATGTTACCTGGAAAGGCTCTTTCACATGTTTGCTCAACACTCCAGTGAGCCACTCAGTGGTCACTGACTCTGGGGACACAGGTACCTGTGGCAGATCCATCTGGCTATTGAGAAAGCAGCAAAGGGGTGAGACAATGACATGTGAATTGAATGTGGAAGTAAAATTTTACAAAATTCTATAGGCTTAGGAAGAAATACAAAAGTAAGGAGACAAATTATGGTAAATTAAACATTATTTTTTAATTCTTGGCTGCCTGGGGAAGATTTTGTTAAAGTAATCATTTATCATGAGCTGAAGAGAGGATTTTTAAAATAGAAACCATAACAGAAAAGCTAGGAAAGCCGTTATTGATATGTTAGACATAACTGCTTTTGTAATTGGTATGTCTTCTTAACAGATAGGGTTGCTTTGACAGGTAGTTTGGAAAGGTTTAGTCCATATGACATAGTGAAGCCATGGTCAGATTCTACATCATCTATAATATCTGATTCAGTGTTATGGACTTCATATGTCTTGTCTTGTGACTTCATATGTCATACAGTTTCAACAACAGCCTTATTAGGTTTTTTAAAGTAATTTTTTCCCCAAATTGTGTAGAATTCAGTCAGGGATGCAGATAATAGACTGTTCTTTTTATTCTCTTCGACAGTGAAACTGTCTTGGGATCATTTATGATATTTGACATAAAGTACTATCTCATCTCACATGAAATTTCTCAGGGAAAGTCCTTACAAATTGTTGATTTGCTTCTTGGAGATTGGCTGTGTAGTGTAAAACTATGAGTATGCATCTTCACATAATATATATCTACTGCTATTAATAATGGTCATTTCGCATGAGAAACTACTCTAATATATTACTTGTTCATCCTAAGACTGTTCTTTCAACTAATTGAACAGGATACAAGTAAGGGAGGATGGAGTTATAAGAACTTCTTTCCCTCTACTGGACATTTATGTTTTAGCATTTTTCTGAAATGTATGTTAGAGGGTAAGCCTGAATTTTTCACATCAATAAACAATGCACAGTTAAAATATTGCATAAGAAAACTGGCCATTAATATTGGGAAATTTTATTCAATTGATATCTGTGCTGCTGGTACAGTATGAAATTTCAAGAAGATATGGTAATGACAATAACTTTGGTAACCCCAATAATTTTGGTTATAGCACATGGAATGATTCTCTGATACTTGACTTCTAGATGACTCCAAGCTCAATCATTTCTTCAGCCAGGCCAACAATTCGGTCAACAATCTTCTTATTGGTTCCTTTGACAATCTTTTCCTGGTAATCATCCATAAGATTTTTCATATCACTTTCCTTCAATGTGTCTAAGTCAACTGCATCCTCTTCCTGCATCAACATAGCTGGAATCAGCCAGCAAGCACATAGGAATCCTGCTTCAGCACTGACTTTGAAGAACTCCTTCTTCATTTCATCATAGCTATATGCATCAGGGCACTCCATTCCCAATGTCTGCATTGTTTCCAAGAATGAATTATGGTAAAACTTGAGCAATGATTCCAGGTGCTTGTCTCGCATGTCACGGTTGGTGCTGGTATAGAATAGGTAGGCCAGGTCATTGGTAGGGTGTGTGTATCGGGAAATCTGGAGGTCCACGGGCTTGACCTCCACTGGAACTTCTTTCCCTTCTTTGGTCTCATATCGGAACATCATGTTGTTGTTCCAACAGTCTCCATGAACAAATGTGCTCATAGGACCCCGTGGACCTGTAATTGCATAGAAGGTCTCAGAAGGATCTGGATGCTTGGCCAAATAAGCCTTAATCTTCTCGCTCAGGTCCTTTCTTTCCTGACCCTCTAGAAGAAGGGTAATGTTGTTCATCCCCATGGCTAGTATTGGTCCAAAATTTTGCAGTGGCTCAACCAGCAATGGAGCGTTCTTGCAGAGAAACATTTCAATGTTGCCCTGCTTGACCTTGGTGTAATAGGTGAGAGCATGGAACCTTCCAAGTTCCTTGACGATGAGCTGGCAATGTTCAAAGTCAAGTCCAGCATAGCGATCATGCATTCGGTATCCCGTGGCTTTCAAGTCTTCCATGACAATGGCCGACTGGCTAAAGTTGGCACAGGTGTGGTAACATTTGGCAAATGCAGGTTCCAAGACTTTTGCATTTCCAGCCTGTGCTTCTCTAACCTGGCGGAGGAGTTCCTTGTAGACGTGGATCTCTCTGTCAAATGCTCGGGTCAAGGTGACCATCTTTCGCTGGAATTCCCCCGCTGGGAACATCTTGGCCATAAGGTGAAAGGTCAGGGTCTTGCCATCAGATGTAGTGACCTCTGCTGTGATGGCCACCATCTGGCTGAGGTAACCATCTCGCATCTTTCCCTTGGTTAGGCCCTTGGCATCATGCTTGGTTACCTCAAACTCCCCAGGGATATGCAGTGTCAGGACATCTTTCAGCCAGGTTTGAGTTACTGACTCTGCTGAATCTGGTACGTAGATCTCCATTGCCTAAGAGGAATTCAATAAATGGAATATTTTTTCATGTCAGTCAGGATTTTTTCCCTTAAACTTGCCCTTGCCATTACTTTAATTTTTTTAGTTTTACTTTTCAGCGTATTTAGCCAATATTTATATCTGTAACATGCTTTGCAGTCGCCTGGCCTAGGTCACTTGCACCCAGCAATAAAAATGTATTGAATATCACTTCCCTGTAACTGGCAGTTTTTCAATGAAAAATATCTGGTGTTTAAAGTTGGAGTTAGCATACATGCATATTTTTCATTGTGATAAAACCTATTCTATAAATACAGTAACTTGGTCATGAGCCAGCTATTTCTTAAAGGTATCAAGTTAGCTACCACTATTTTTCTTCTCCTTTCAGTTTATAACCTACAGGATTCAGTTTTCCTATGATTAAAGGATCCATGTTTCAATTTCTTACCTGCCCTTGGCTTATTCATTTCAGGAGGCTTCTTCTTTTCTCAGAAAATGGAGTCCAAAAATGAAATACTACTTGGTCTTAAAGATTAATGTCAAGTGGAATCTCTCATTTCATTTTGTCTTCTCATTGCCTGCAGTATGTCTTGCACAATGGAAGTTAAGGGGGTCATAATCTCCCATGAGTAAAAAAAATAGGAATGGCAATAACTATCCTGTTATGCACTTCCCTTCATGACACTCACACAAAAAAAGTAGATTTGTAGTCCTGAGGTGCTCTACTGAACTATGGTTGGTTACCAGTCAGGTAGTAAAAAAGGGGTCTATCATATTCCCTCCTTGAATACTAGTATACAGTCACCCCCTCCATTTACGCAAAATGATCAATTTTTCTTTTCTGGGAGGTATATTTGATGACAACTCTAACTCATCTCTGGTAACAGTCAATATTGGATAATGAAACTACATATGGATATATGAAGATTTTATTCAGAGTCATAATTTTGATACTGTCATGGTATGTAATATCAGAAATATGTATATATTCCCATGAGCCTTGTTGATAGCTTGTTGAACATTTTTCACCTGCAAGATCTCTTTAGATGATTCCAAGCTCAGCTATTTCTTCAGCTAAGCCAATGATTCGTTCAACAACCTTCTTATTGGACCCACTAGCAATCTTGTCTTTGAAGTCATCCATAATTTCATCAAAATCACCTTCTTTGACTGTATCTAGGTCAATAGCATCCTCCTCCTGCATCAGCATTGCTGGAATCAACCAACAAGCCATCAGAAATCCTGTTTCAACACTGACTTTGAACTCCTTCTTCATTTCATCATAACTATATGCATCAGGGCACTCCATTCCCAATGTCTGCATTGTTTCCAAGAATGAATTATGGTAAAACTTGAACAATGATTCCAGGTGCTTGTCTCGCATGTCACGGTTGGTGCTAGTATAGAGTAGGTAGGCCAGGTCATTGGTAGGGTGTGTGTATCGGGAAATCTGGAGGTCCACGGGCTTGACCTCCACTGGAACTTCTTTCCCTTCTTTGGTCTCATATCGGAACATCATGTTGTTGTTCCAACAGTCTCCATGAACGAANCATGAACGAAGGTGCTCATAGGACCCCGTGGACCCAGATGTGTGAAGAAGGGCACTGTTAGGTCTGGGTTCTTGGCCAAATATGCCTTGACCTTCGTGCTTAGGTCCTTTCTTTCCTGACCCTCTAGAAGAAGGGTAATGTTGTTCATCCCCATGGCTAGTATTGGTCCAAAATTTTGCAGTGGCTCAACCAGCAATGGAGCGTTCTTGCAGAGAAACATTTCAATGTTGCCCTGCTTTACCTTGGTGTAATAGGTGAGAGCATGGAACCTTCCAAGTTCCTTGACGATGAGCTGGCAATGTTCAAAGTCAAGTCCAGCATAGCGATCATGCATTCGGTATCCCGTGGCTTTCAAGTCTTCCATGACAATGGCTGACTGGCTAAAGTTGGCACAGGTGTGGTAACATTTGGCAAATGCAGGTTCCAAGACCTGTGCATTTCCGGCCTGTGCTTCTCTAACCTGGCGGAGGAGTTCCTTGTAGACGTGGATCTCTCTGTCAAATGCCCGGGTACTGGTGACCATCTTTCGCTGGAATTCCCCCGCTGGGAACATCTTGGCCATAAGGTGAAAGGTCAGGGTCTTGCCATCAGATGTAGTGACCTCTGCTGTGATGGCCACCATCTGGCTGAGGTAGCCATCTCGCATCTTTCCCTTAGTGAGACTCGTAGCCTCGTGCTTGGTCACCTCAAACTCCCCGGCAACTTGCTGGGTCAGGACCTCTTTCAGCCAGGTTGGAGTCACCGTCTCAGCCGAGTCTGGCACGAAGATCTCCATTTTCTGTTGTCAAGAAGGGTGATTTTTTTTTCATTTGGCGCATTCCTGAAGGTCATGCGCTTGGAAGGTGATCAAATTACTGTTGGAAGGTTACCAGATCCCTACTGGGCTTCTTTTGGCTGCTAGTTGAATTTCTCACAGTCTATATTTTTATAGGAACAATTGTTGTTTGGAAGATGAGATGTTTATTATTGTTATTTATTTATCCAACGTTATAACTGTTTCATGCCACTCTTTCTTTTCCAAATCTCATTGCCATTTCCTCGTTGCAACTAATTCACAGCTCTTCTATGCTTTCATTTCATTTGAATGGCGAACGCGCGTAAGCTTCGATCGTTATTGTTAGAGAGCTTGCCGTTGTCATACAGGGTGGCCCAGAAGTAATATGCAGTTAATGGTACAATCAGCAGTCACTTCAAATTTTAATTGCAACCTTTATGATTAGCGATTCTGAAATTAAAATAAAAATCAATAATCAAAATAATAAGTAATACAATTATAAAATAATAATAAAAATTGTAGTGACTGTTGATTGTACCACTAACTGCCCCGTTACCTGGGCCACCCTGTATTGGAGAAGAAAAATTTATATTGTCGTGCTGCTTTTCTCTTTGTCATGCATGCCCTCGTTATTTGTTCGGCATTATTCCATAAGCATGGAGGAAAGCACGTCACATGAGCACTAGCGACTGCCGTGATGCGCGGCCAATAATACGTGGGGAGGGAGGGTTTGACACTGAATATCCTGAGTATTATTTTCTAGGAAATGTTAATTAAATTTATAATTGTTTGACTGTGGCGATTGTGGTATCGTTAACTTTATCTATGTGATATTTCTGCACCTTTAAAGTCATTATTAAATATTGGCCGCCCTGGACAGGCTATGCTGCCACACCCCTCAAAAGGAACGATGCGTTCGCGATCCAAATATTTTTCGTTGATGACGTCTACGTATCGGCCCCCTTTGGCCATTCTGATCTCTTGAATGTAAAATAATACTGTAGCTATCGGGGGAGTCTGTGGTCGTCATGAACGCCTTGTATGGGATTTGTTGGAGGGAGGGGGAGGGAGTGGCACTTGGACGAGATATGCCGAGAGGGGGGGGGGAGGCCTTATCGAAGAAGAGAAAAGGCACATTTGGCGCAATGAATTAATCTGCAATAAAGACGTGTTTGTTTGCACAAGGGCTAGTAGGTCGATAGCTGGGAAATCCCCCCACGTGGAGACAATTCAAAGCACGCAAAACGCCATGACCACGACATACTACGCATTATATATGCGTAGTATATATGGGGAATGCAGTTAGACATATCTTCGGAGCTACTGAAATGAGTAATGCTGCATTGAGAAAATTTTTTGCAGCCATATTTTTTTTTTTTAGTCAACGATACATTTTTAAATTTGCTGTCTGTCGATTATTACGCGCCACCGATATTCAATGTGACGGGACTTGATTTTTCTGTTTCTTTTCAGTCTACCAATTCTCTTTCGCAGCCTTCAGCTCTCGAGGATTTAAATAACAGAAGTGTACACTCCCATGAATTGTCATGACCGGCGTCCTTGAGCTCCCTTACAAAGCAGATGTTTAGGAGGAGCTGAAACGAGGCGTGTCAAGGCTACGCGGTTGTGCGTGTCTCTCATAAGGATTTTACCAACTATGACAGGCATGGGATGTGCCCTACCAAAAATAATAATAATAAAAGAAGAGGGAACCAACTTTGAAATAGCACGAAATTTAGCGAAGGCAGAGCGAGACGAAATTGGGGAACGCACACGATGATCCGAAGTGAGACTCGTTCCCACCAGTGAAATGCTTTTTCCGTTGTGGACCCGGTGAATAGAGTGCCCTGAGTGGCTCACTTCCCGTTGAGGGTTTGCTTCCTCTTTCCGTCTATTAAATGCGCACGGAAGCTACGCCCTTGGGGCTCGATTTGATGATCGAGGATGCGGACCACATGGGGCCGCGAGTGAAAGGGAATATATAGTCCGCTCTTATGGAATGCGGTTAAAGGTCTTGGATGGACTGAATGGAAGCATGGATTCGAAAGAAAGGCTTAGTAAATCCGGGGAGAATCCTAGAGCATGAACAGCGTAAAAGGCGGGAAAAAAAGTGGTGAGTAGCACGGACTCGGAATTTTCTGAGCCGGCGTTGAAATTTTCGTTTACCGCGGTGGAAGCGTACGAAAATAATTAAATCACAAAAATGGATTCAGACGTGAAGAAGGCCGGGCGAGGACGTGGAAGTCTGCACGTGTGCACAGCGGGATGGAACACGTAGAAATGAATGAATGAATGATGGCACTGCTCCCCACCACCCGTTTTTAAAAGGCACCACCAGCCTCCAAGGGCATCTCGCCCCAAGGCCATACCAATTCCCCCCGTAACTAGGAGTGACAACCAGACTCATTTAGCCCCCCCGCAGTATTGGATATGCCGAGGAACGGAGTGAAGAAAAAAAAGGATAACGAGTAATCGGCTTACAGGGAATGCGATGCTGGCACGGTCTCGTGACGGGGGCGTCCGCTGCTCTGGTTTCCACTCTCGCTCTCGCGGGTCTGGGAACTGCTGCGTCCCCGCTTCGCGTTATCTGCCCTGGTATCCATCGGCCTCAATTTGCCTTCGGGGGAGGAGGTGAAGTGTAATGGAGGGTTCCAAAGGGGGAGGGGAAAGGGCCGTTATCTGTCTAGCAGGTAGTTCTGGCTCGAAGCCGGAGTATTTACTCGAATGTGTTTGCCTTACGGAGTAAAGGGAGAAGGGATTTAATAACGTGTTCCACATTAGTAGAGAGGTACGAGTCGATCTCAGAATGTGAAAAAAATGTTGCCTCGGAAAAACAAGCGCATGCCATCAGGTTACTTCGAATCATCATAAATCAAGAAAATAAAGATTCCAGATTGAGATGCGACTGGGTTACGCTTATGTCAATTCTCGAGCCTCGTGGAGCCGGGCGTGATGGGTTGCATTGACTTCTCAATATATATAAATGACTTCAGTCAATATGTATTGTTCCAGTCGTAGTTCATGATTCATCCAGAATGTCGCTCGACTATTTTTTTGCTATGGATTCCTGGAGATTGGACATCATATCTTTTTTTTGTCTCCTGTTTAATTGACCTCTTGTACAAGGACCTGTTATTTCAAGTCCCTTACTGTCTGTCTTATCACTGGGATCCTCAATAAACAAGGATGAGGTGACTCTCCGGTAGATAAGAGTGCATGTTTCTTGTCACATCCAAGTCCATGGGACTGATATGGAAAATGAAGTGATTCTGCCATACAGAAGGTCTCCATCATGAAATGAATCTGCTCTCTGACATGGACAGTAAAGTATGTTTCAATGAAAGGCAATACAAAGTGATTTAGGATGGAATTGCAGACTATAGCAGGTAGACATGGATATAATTGAAATATTTAAACCTTATGAAACAAGTATAACTAATTTCTTCAGCATGAAAAGGGGGGCCTTGATCAACTGCTCCTACGCACTTTGAGTCCATTGTCAAAGTTGCCCAACAGGCTATTATTTCAGTTTAAATGCTCTGCTTCAGAAGTTCATAATTTGGAGTGGATTGAAAAGCAAGGGAAGAGAAGAATTGCTGTGGTTGCTTACCAGGACACTTTTGTTGACCTTGTGGAATTGGAACAATGCAACTGGTTTGAGTGTTGGTTTTTTCAAATGCAATTGCACATAAATGTTAGGGGTGCTTATTTTGAGAAGCAGTGGAAATGTAACACTTTTGCTGCCAAGCCATGTAGTTGCAAAAAATGCCAAACCTTTTTTTCTTAAGTTGCAGTGCTTCAGAAAAAAAAAATCATAACTCCTAAAGTATACAACATTGAGATGTAATTCTTTCCTAAATATATACTCAGGTAATCTGAGTATAAAGGATTATAGTTTATTTGTAACAAATTCTGATTTCTTTGTTTTTGAACCTTTTCGTCTAAATTTAAACTCTGACTTTGAAGCACAAAAAATTAACAAAATTTATTCCAAACCCAAATGCCATTACCATATTTGCTTTGAATAGTCACTTTTCCTCCACAACACATGTTAATAATTACATATCTTATGCACTTACACTGCAAATAAATATAAACAAAACAATATAAACTTACACAAGCTCATCATTTTGGAGCTTAAATAAAACAAAATACTAGGGGTGCAACTAGTGGCAAAAAAGTAACTCATGTGCATGTAGACTACTATAACTGAGGGCTGCTGTCACCTAACAAGAACCCCAACTACATGAAGGAAGAAATTTAATGACTGAAAAATTGACCTATGGTATTTTAAGCAGTGGTACACCTAACCGAAAAATCAGCTGTGCAGCACTAAAAGGGTTAAAGCTGAAGTCTTTTGAAGCAAAGGAGCAACTTTGAACTTTCATTGTGACCCTCGGGTATCTCATGGATATGAAGGTATTGAAAAAATATATTTAAAAAAAGTAGATAAAACCATGCTTTATTAATGTTCTTTGCTGCTGATTAGCTGTTAGCAATTATACAGTTAAGTTATGGGAAATTTAAAAAGGAACAGGTCATACATGGTTTCCATTAACCCATCAATGAGATGAGGAATTTCTTACATACTGATCAAGAACTGAACACAAATTCAGGTGTGTGAGATCTGAAAATGCACTTTTTTGTTGTAGGCAGAGCAGCGGTTGCACGAAGAGCAGCATCGGGTGCGGCTCTACCTGCACGAGACAACGTTGGAGAAGCTGATGCAGACATGTGAAAAGGTGCTAATCCAAAAGCACTTGGAGATCTTTCATGCCGAATTCCAGAACCTCCTCAATGACTACAAGACTGAGGACCTAGGTCGGATGTTCTCACTGGTTTCGCACATTGCTGAAGGACTTGGGGAGCTACGGAACCTCCTTGAGTCTCATATCTGGACACAAGGGCTAGAGGCCATTGAGAAGTGTGGTGAGGCCGCTATCAATGACCCGAAGCTATATGTCACTACCATCCTTGAGGTCCACAAGAGATACAACAAATTAGTGCTGACAGCCTTTGAAAATGATTCTGGATTTGTTGCCTCGCTTGACAAGGCATGTGGACGATTCATCAACAATAACTCTGTGACACGGGCAGCAGGGAATTCATCCAAGAGCCCAGAGCTCCTTGCTCGCTACTGTGACATCCTTCTCAAAAAGTCCAGCAAGAACCCCGAAGAAGCCGAGCTGGAAGATACCCTCAACCAAGTGGTAAGAATATTCTCCTCCAGCTTGGAAGATACACTCGATCAATTGGTAAGAAAAACTCAACCAAGTGGTGAGAATATTCTCCTCCAGCTCCATATAACAAAATTAAAATGTTATCACTCTGAACTAGTTTCAGAAAAGGAGGATAACATTGTTCCAGAGTAAAGTTGGTAATCCTGACAATTAAATTGTCTGGCTTCAAGAAATGGAAAGTATTGTTTTCTAAGGAGTTGAGATGAGGAGAAAAATTATTTGGAAGGAAATAGTTTTAAATTAGTCTTAGCAACTTCATTCAGTTTGTTGCAATCACAATGGCCAAGCACATGCGCAGCGCTATATTGAGGCAGACCAAATTTTCCACAGCTCTACTAAACCAATCCCAACTTCAGTCATCCAGGCAATAAATTTCCTTGCCCCACTCTCACCCTTGCCCCTCACTCTCTCTATTGCTGAAAAACTCAGCTTCAGCTTGAGTGGATCCATGTGAAGGCATGTCGTGGGTATTCCCATGGACAATGCAGGACAGAAACTCACATGAGAAGGAGGGAATTGATGGAAACTCAATGAACAAGAGGGAAAAGGGTGCTTTTTATTTACATTTCACTTGTGAAACACTAAAATGTGCTTGCCACTGTTGTGTGGGAATTTTAAATGCCTGCACTAGGTTTATGTTCTGAATACTCAAGCTGCAAATGAAATTTTCAAAGCAAAAGGAAAATCAGGCCTTAGCTAGACATTTTGTCAAGAAGAGATCATTTGATTGATGGATTTAGGGAGTGTCTAATTTATTTAGAACTATGAATGGTTCTGCCTTTGGCACTCTACCTTGTAAGTAAATACATGTAATCATTTGAAATATATGCTTTTGGTGCTCAAACCTTCTGAAGAGTGAAACTCCATGGATTTTAAGAATTTCTCATTGTCACATCAAGTTACTTCAGGTTTGTTACTTCACTGCCTACATAAAAAATTAACATTCTAAAAGACTCACCCCCCCACCACAATTATGGTATTTTTCATCTGTACAGTACCTTTTATACCGCACTTGTAAAAACTATTTTCTTCAAGCTAAAAAATTTGGGGGAAAATCCCCTCCAATAAAACTGGGCTCCGAAGACCCCAAACCTCAAATATAGGATTTCCATGGAATCTGCATTTTTTTAACAATGGATAATTGAAATTTCAGCTTCTGTGTCTCCAAATTTTTTTTTGGGATGAAAATATTTAAAGAAAAACCAGCATCAAAGAAATGTGCCCCTAGGGGATATACTTTAAAAGTAGCATTTTGCCTAAAAATCACCACCTCAACAGCTGCCATTGTATCTTCTTTCAGCTTTGTAAAATGCACAGAGTGAAAATTTTGATGGAAAACATCCTCTCCAGAGAATATACCACTACAGAATGAATCAGGGTTTTTCATAAAATAAGCACTGCAGTAACAATTTGTCTACTGAATTTCACTAATAATATATGCTTATTTTGTTGCAATGAAAAATATGTGCTCCTAGAGAGTTCATCCCAAACAGTTCAAATTTTCCTAGTTAGCACACTGAGAACTACATGCATTCCAAATTTCAGCCTTCTTTCACATATTCAAACTACAGGGTGTCCCAGAAGGTATGGAAACATTTTAAAAATAATATCTCCATAAATTGTGCCTCAAATTAAATGATTAAAACAGTAAAATGAAGTGAAACTCAAGCATTTTAAAACCTGTTATTGCAATTACACATGGGCACTATTCGTGGCTCTGTAGATGTCGAGACGATGTTTGAGCTCTTACTGTAACTTATGCTGTGTCATACGTAACTGTCTGGATAACTGGGACAATTCTGTTCTTCAGATCTTTGACATAGCAGCAGAATAAATAAAAAATCCAATAGGGATAGGTTCAGGTTCAAGAAAAGTCTAATTTTCCAAGATGTTGCACTTGCACATTTTAGGAAACTTATGCATGACCAACAATTCCCAGATCTGTGGATTGGACAAAGTGGGACCATTCCATGGCCTCTAAAATCACCTGGAAAAAACCTCAGTGGCTTTTTTCTTGCGAGATATCAAGGACGTCGCCTACTGGAGAATAGAGGACAATCAATCAAGATCTAAAGAACAGAATCATCTCCACTATCCAGACAGTTATGCCTGACAAGAGCTCGAACATCACTTGGACATCCACAGAGCCACAAATAGTGCCCATGTGGAATTGCAATAACAGGTTTTAAACTGTTTGAGTTGCACTTCGTTTTACTGTTTTAATAGTTTAATTTGAGACATTATTTAAGGAGATATTTATTTTTAAAATGTTTCTATACCTTTTGGGACACTGTGTATTGTACTGCTTCACTGGAGCAAAAGAGTTTTTGAGAAAAACCTCATGCCCAGAATTGCACCTCTCAGTAGCATATCTAAAAAATTGGGTTTTTCATGGAGTAATTTCCCAGAAAATTACTTGTGTGCCAACTTTCAGTGTTCTTAATTTGCACATTCCACTGATGGGGATAATAGCAAACTATTGTAATGGTTCCACATATCTTCATAATAATGGAGTTTTCCACTCCATTTTTTATTCTCTTTCAAATGAACATTCATTTCCCATACTCACATAATGACCAGTAGTTCGTTAAGCAACCTCATGCAGTATTTTGAGGCCTCCTGTATTCATTCCTCTTTAGAGCAGATAAAGAAATTAAATTGAACATTTACCTTGGAGTCTTCTAATAGAACTGGTTCTTTTTTCTTGGTTGATGGGGAATCCAATGTTTGGCTTGGTGTTCCAGTGGCCAGTCATCCTTGCAAGTCATCCTTGAAAACTTCCTTCCTAATATTCCCCCCTCCATGCTGCCTTTTATCCTTCATTGTTCTAATTGATAAAATCTCTCAGAGTATTGCTGTTTTTTCTACTCCCAAAGGGTCCAGCCTATAGAGGAATTTCACTCCTGAACATGAGATGGGACTGGAATTGCTAGTGCCACAGCTAATTGCTATGGCATATCAGCCTTTCTTCTGAGTAGTTCTTCATGAGTAAATTCATCTCCTCATATCAAAATATATTCACCAGAATAACTTACCTTGGAGCAATGTCTGTCCTGGAGTGATTTAACCCTTTATAGGACCAAAGACTGGGAATTCATGAAAAAACCATTTTTTTTGCAGTCTAGTTGCATGCTATACTCTACATGAAAATGGTGACAAAATACTCCTACACCACATCTATACAATAACAATTGAAGGGCATATGTATGACTCTTTTGCTCTGGTGGGATATTATTTTCCCAGTGAACTCTAAGTGGTTAACTTATATCTTGGAACAGGCCCAACACCTTCAAATGTGTTTTTCATTTTCCTCCTGCAGATGGTGGTGTTCAAGTATATAGAAGACAAAGATGTGTTCCAGAAGTTCTATAGCAAGATGCTTGCCAAGCGGCTGGTGCAGCATCTATCGGCATCAGATGATGCTGAGGCATCCATGATCACCAAACTGAAGCAAGCCTGTGGCTTTGAGTACACCTCCAAGCTCCAGCGCATGTTTCAGGTATGCCAATCATCTAGAATATGTTGATACATATGCCAGAAAAGATTTCCCTTCCAGCTTTGAAAGTATAGGGGAATCATGGGAAAGATATAGTCCAATCCCATACTTTTTTTGTGGTTTTCTGCAGTGATTTCTATATGGGGGTGCATCCCCTTCTTTTTAGAACGACCTTAATCATTTTTAAAATGACATCGAATTGGTAGCTTTCATGAGAAAGCATGTAATTAATTCCATCTCTTGTAGTGGATTTGATCATAGTTATTACACAATATGGGCAAAAGAGCTATGTGTGTGATCCCACCATTCATGCACTGTGATGCTTCCCTATTGAGGCTACATTTTTGACATGATTGAAAACAGATTCCCCATGAGAGAATTACATGTTAGTACAGGCAGTTTCCAATTTCATTAATTCTGTCAGGCACCCATTACTTATAAATTATGAAATTCAAGTCACTCAGTACAGGAAGCTCTGATGTCATGAGTTTTTTGCTTTTATTATTAGGTATTGGAGCATGTTTCATCAAGGAACATCTAAGGTTTACAAAATGCCTTTGCTTCTGAACATGGAAATATATCTCATGAATTATATGCAGTACCCTTCATTATTCCATCTTAGTGAAGATATCTGTCTTGGTTTCCATTTACCCATGTCACAGATTCACACATATAGATCCTTATGTTTAGTCCTGTAACTTTCCTGATTGCCTTGTCAGTTGATGCTGGTAGGGGCTAGGTAAAACTGGAATGGAATTTATAAGAACAGTGAAAAGTATGTCTAGCATTCAGTATGAACCTTTAGGAATCATGCAAGATGTTGTTCTTACAGGACATTGGAGTGTCAAGGGACCTGAATGACCAGTTCAGGCAGCACATTGACAACTCGGGTGAACCGCTGGAGATCGATTTCAGCATCCAGGTGCTATCTTCTGGGTCATGGCCATTCCAGCAGGGTACCACCTTCACCCTCCCTACTGAGGTATGTTCTTTTTATCTGTCATCTTGCTCATGTGGATTTCTTAGCTGGAGTATCCTTTCATGATGATGCTTTTAAATTGACAGTTGGAGAGGAGTGTGACAAGGTTCAACAGCTTCTACAGTGGGCAACACAGTGGCCGCAAACTTTTCTGGCTTTACCATATGTCCAAAGGAGAGATCATTGCTTACTGCCTCCGACACCGGTGTGTGACCCTGATCAGTTTGTCTATTATGATATCAGTGTACTTTGTTGCAAAAAGTTCCCATATATGCATTTATCCATGAATGCCTGAGTACATGCTATGCTGATGTGTGTATATAAGGAGCAACCAAAAAAATTTTACTTTCATGTGAAGGACAGGTCCACTGAGAACCACCATATGTGAATATGGTGGTTCCTATAAACAAGTTATTCTTTAGCAAAAACTGAGTGGTAATGCCATCACTTTCCGATGTGGATTTTCTTTTCATTTCATGGTCCGAGTATTAGCTGACTGTGAAAACAGAGAGGTGCAATAGGGGAAAAGGAATTGTGGCTATGTTAGAAGAGCATGTTACCATCCTTAGGACATTTGTTCCAGACAATAATTGAGAGTATCTGCAGTTTTATTTTGTTGTGTTCAGGTCATGAACCCATCATGTAGCTCTGCATATGGATATCAAGGTATCAGCATCTGCATGGAGGTGTTACAGTGTAATCCTTGGATTTTTTTATGGCATGTGCAGAACATCTTAAGTAGGGGTCTCAATTTGCTGTCTCAAAATTCTTTAACCAGTTATCAATGGACACAAACCAGCCAACTGAAATTCTAAGAATATAATCCAACAAGAGGAGACATTTTTCAAGGGAAACAGGAGACAAGGAAGGAACACAAGTTCTTTCTCCAGTGTAATCTCTTTCCATCATTTTTCCCCCCACTTTCATCCAGTCCATTTCGTCCATCTTTGTCATTGTATCTCCCTCTTTTTTTCATCTTTTCTCTCTGCCCTTCACTCAGGAGGGAGAAAAACAACTAAACTTAAGCAAAAGGATTTATTACAGTAGTCCCAATTTAGAGTTAATTAATTTACCATCCCATACCCAGGAATACCTTTTTTCATGTTGAAGAACAGGGAGGGGGAGCAGATAATAGCAGTGAATTGAAACAGACTCTTAGGAAGAGGTTAATACTGATCTGCTAGTTAACTGGTAATGCAGTAAAGTATTGAAACCCTAATGTGAATACATCAGTGATAAGTTTATGAACTAGGGTTCAGTTAATTACATTCATTCATCTCCATTTATTCATTGTCTTCATATTTCAAAAGACTCACAATGACTTATTTTCATGGAAGGATTCTCAACCCTGGTTACAGACCATTAATGGTAAAATTCATATGAATGTTGCCTGACATATGACAAGAATCCTATATAGGGGTTCTTTGCTGTTTTATCCTGGAAGTACCAGTGTCTTACTATATGTTCTGTTTATATTTGCCCAGGTACTCGTTCCAGGCATCCACAATGCAGATGGCCGTCCTCCTGCAATACAATTGTGCCGACACGTGGACAGTTGGTGCTCTTAGTGAGAGTACCCAGATCCAGCTCCCAACTCTCATCCAGGTCTTGCAGATCCTTCTCAAGTCAAAGCTTCTCATCCTTGCTGGAGCATCTGCAGATCCCCAGGTGCAGCCGGGGACTTCCAAGCAGCCGGCTGCAGTGATCTCGTCCCCATCTAGATTGGACGCCATGGCACCAAGTCTCGAGAATGGGGATGGAGATGAATTTGACCTTCAGCCATCCACTACCCTGTCCCTTTTTCTGGGATACAAAAAGTATGTTCTTCCTTCCTGCTCTAGTGAGGTTTATTTTCAAATTTATTCCTGAAAACCTGAGTTAATGAGTTTCCCCAAAAATGAAAGACCTAGTTACTTCCATGTGCTGATGCAATTTGATGCTTCTGCAGTAAGAAGCTGCGGGTGAACATCAACGTCCCAATGAAGACAGAGTTGCGCATCGAGCAAGAGGTGACGCATCGCCACGTTGAGGACGACCGCAAAATACTCATCCAAGCTGCCATCGTTCGAATCCTCAAGACACGCAAGACAATGAAGCATCAGCAGCTTGTCATTGAAGTCCTCAACCAGCTTGCCTCACGGTTCAAGCCCAAGGTCAACATCATCAAGGTTGTTCACTCATACTTATCTTTCCCACCATGAGGTCTGAGGGACTTTCATTTCAGTTTTTGATATGTTGTTACTAGGATTTCCTCCATGTCTTGAACCATTTTTATTTTTCCTCAATGGGAGCATGAATGGAATGGCTGTAATGAGGAAAAATCAAGTTCATACTGGTAGACATCTGGATACTTTTCATTGGTGCATATCACTTAACAACCTTTTGATGTCAAATGTGTCTCTCTTCCACCCGCTTTCCCTTCCCTTGTCTCAAAAATACTATGCATATTATGTACTTTCTCTCCATTAGTGGAAATGATATGTTTTTGGCCCTTTCCCCCCATGCAATGCAATCAAGAGGTTCCCTATATCATTCCTCCAAGAAACTCTAACCCATGAATGCTTTTCTTTATTCAACTGTATGGAATTTCTGACTAGTTTTCAGATTGAATGTACAAGATGGGAATGAATTCAAGGCATATGTAAGTTCTAGCTCTGGGTATGAAGAGTTCTAAAGCTGTGAAGAAAATTAAAAATGGACTACACTGGTATGGAATAAGTTTTCTCTTGCATTGACTTCCTTGAGGGAAGTTGTGCTGCACAAGATTTTAATGAGACACATATTTGCAAGATTAATGTAAGAAATGGAGAAACTCTCTCTGCATGAGAGGGTCATAATGTTGGAGTCATTCTGAGAGAGCTTATTAGACATATCTCCATGTTTGCATTTCATCATTGCCCTTCATGAGGATATTAATTACTCTTCCTTGGCTTCATTTAGTTTCTTGAGTCATCGCAGATTAAGTGCTTAACCCCTCTGTCCTTCATATAAGTAGTTTGTGGCAAAATAAAAAACTTCAAGTCTTTGTCCTGTACTGTCAAACTTCATCCTACATTGCTTATTTCCCTCTTCTAGTTTTAACCTGTTTCAACACTAATTTGCTCTATCTCTTTCTGTAACATTGGACTTTCTGTAACGTTTGACTATATCTGGCTACTATTTACAGCTGCCATCAGAACTAATGATTTTTGTGCCTGCCAATTGGTGGCAAATGCTTCTGTTTCATAGGTCAATTGGAAGAATGGAGGGCAAAGAGTTTAGCTCATACTGAATGAAAAACTTTGCTGTTCTTTGAAATTTTCTGGCATTTGAATTACAGGACAAAGCAATATTCTTCTTCTTCATTTTTAATTTCTCACCATTCTCTAAGCATCCAAACTTGTTTGCTTGTACCTCTCCAGCCATTGCACTAGTGATTTTACAGTAGCAACTCAAATATCATTTTTGCATGGGAAAGTTATTGGTGGGAAAATGGCTAGTGTGCACATAGTTCACACTAGTTTCGGGCCATCACTTTTCAGACTCTCTGTGAAAATGGTGCTTTCTGTAGGAGATGAAGCAGTGATACTAAGGCCTCCTATTTTGAGAATTGATGGAGTAGGGCTAGAGTTGTACAATAATTTCTTGCCAAAATGTAAAAATTAAGAACCACTAATGAACCAATTAAAAAAAACTGCAAGAAACTGGCTCTGAAAAAAGAAGAGAAGGAACAGTAGACCAAAGTTAGCTGAAACTGGAAAAAGAGGAACTGTGCAATGCAGAAGAAGCTATTGCTTCTCAAGATTATAATTTAAGCATGCTAAAGTCCCAGCTGAAAATTGCAAAAAGTATTGGTTTCTCCCTTTTGAGATTGAAAAAAGTTTTATATGCTTGGAGAATATTCCTAATTAACTGATTCTTCTTCTTCTGTATTATTCATATTCAGTATGTATTTTATCTACTTGCCTATTTCCTGTTAGTGATTCCTTGGCATTAGCACTTGTCATTTCTTCAGTTATACATTTCAATCCCATCATATTCAAGACAAAAAAGTGACCTTGATGGTGTGTTGCAGCGTTGCATCGACATCCTGATCGAGAAGGAGTACGTGGCCCGCGTGGAGGGACAGAAGGACACATATAACTACGTCGCTTGATTCCCCGGCGGCATCGATCAGCTTCTTTCAACGTCGTCTGTGATGCAATCTTTCATACCTTTTCATTGTCGATCTTTCGCCGTGGCAGCGAGCGATGGAACGTGCAGTGCCATTTGCAGAAAGCAAGTGTGTTTTTTTGCCAGAACATCAACAAGTGTGTCTCCGTCTGCGTGCAAGACGGACGGAAAGAAGAGAATTTAAAAATTCAGTGCAGGCTCCTCTCCCCCCACTTTTTTTTTCTAATACTACAAATTCACTGACCTTGTGGAGACGCCTTTAGAAATTATTGAATCAGGAATAAAGATTTTCTGGTTTTTGATGGCATACACCTTTGCACTCCTCTCAACCAGGAGAAATTTCCACAGATGATCTCATCATTCAACATTTACAATATTCTTTCCCCCTCTCTCTCTTCCATGAGAAGCAGAGGATTCCGGCACAATGATACCCATTTTGATTCGGCATTCTGGATTAATGATCCTAATTAAACTTTGGGGTGTGCAGATATGTTTTCCATGAAAATGTTGTGTTTCTGTTTATGTGTAGGTGTTGGGTGTAAGTCATAGCCTAGCATTACATGAAGGCTACAACGTCCAAGATGATCTCAAATGTCGTCTGCAGAAAATCTCATTGAGAATCTCATCCTGCTTGTGATCGGATCCTTGACGACATAATCTGGATTTTTTATATACCTACGAATGTAGGAGAAAGGCTTATGTCATATGACTAGGGAGAATCCTCACGATTACAGTTTCGATGTTTTCATGGGAATCAGGTGGGACCTTGGAAAATGACCTTGGTATGGAAAATGACCTAAATGGCACAATCGAAAGGAGCCTCATCCCAAACGATGCCACCTAGGTTTGGAGTTTGGTATGCCTTCCACGGCAGTGAAGACAAAGCTAACTCCAGAGTGTCTCCTATGAAAAAGAACTTAATGCTCCCGATACATGGCACCATGAGTAGTAGATCCTTGGTGTAGATTCAATTCATGTGCCACGCGGAATGTACGAGAAACCCATTGGAATTGAAGCTGCCATCCCTTTTGGATCCTGGCATGATGCCAATTGGTGACCAGCTGGGGTTTGTCAGCTGATCCCGACTGGAGTTACTGGGAATCAAGATTAAGAATAGGTCCAGGTTCTTAACCCCTGGGTCGCCAAGCCATTTTGAGTGGATCGCCAAGGGTCTCCAGTTTAAAAACCTTGATCAATCATTTATTCATTTTACCATTTGTCACAAGTGAACTGTTTGAGGGCTTGGGTCGCCGAGCTTGCCCCGCGACAGGAGTTTGGGTTCGCAGCCAGAAAAGGTTAAGAACCTCTGGTCTAGGTAATAGGACTGGTGCCTTTCCAACTCGAAGCGATGTCTGGTTCCTCTTGGGAAACGACGAAACAAAGCAGCTAGAACACCTTTTTTTTTCCCAGTATGCAATAAGTTGCATTTCTGCCCAAAACAGATGTGTGCTTGACAATTTCTCATTCTCTTGGAGGTTGGCCGGAAGTAATGTCGCACGAATGTCAGATTTGATCGAAATTGGAACCCAATCAGTGACTCTGGTACCACTTAGCACGCCCCGGGTTGCAACTCCGTAATTCCTTCTGTCGTATGAGTAAAAATAAGTAAAATTCGAATACGACCTTAATAGAGTCTTGTGGTTCCCGCGGGACATTATTTAGTTCGCGGCCCTGCATGGGTTCTGCCCATTTCAAGGTTGGGCCCGCGTAGCCCTCCATTGTATTTTTGGGGGGGGGGTGTGACCTCCCCCTTCCGGCCATGCCGTCTTACGTCAGTCTGTCCTGTGTCGTCCGTCGTGTGAGTTCGTCCCTCTCGTCAGCTCTGCCTGCGATTTCTGGTCTGCTGTCTGAAGCCATGCCTGCTCTCCCCGACTATTGTGACAAACTTTGCAAGGATTAAGGAAAGGTAGAAAATATCATTTTGAGTCCCTGTATAAACAGTCCGGGGAAAGGTGTAAGAAATATTTCCAAGTAAAAGTCGTTCTAAATCGGTCACGAAATGAAAGTCCGATGCTTTCAATCTTATCCGTAGGACTTGAGGTATTTGCATTTCAAAAAATAATAATTTAACTAAACTTTTTTAAATAACAGCGTTCAAAATGTTGGTTTAATGCGAGGCCATTGTGCGTTATGGCAGTTTCCCTGAAAATAAAGCTGCTTTATCGGGTAGTGCTCTTCATAACTTTGGTGTTTATGCCTATAATGCATTCGAATGCAGCAATGACGTTTTTTCGTGGTTGCGGACAGGTCACGTGCCGTCGGGTCCGGTGGCCGTTCAGTGCCGCCAGAACAAAGATCATGAGCGGGCTTGCCTTGCATAAACTTTGCAACTTAACAGGTTACAATGATTCTTCTAATTGGCCTGTCTTACTCGGGCTGAGAAGAGCTGTTAACAGAATCTTATGGAAATTGCGAGCGATGTGGGAATGAATCGAAGTGAACTTTTTCCACCAGAAGTTATCGGGCCCTGGGGCAGAGAAGCTTCCTCTCGGGGCAGCTCGCTCGCACTCGGGTGTAATCGGGAAGGCGAGATCGGTCTGCTTCTTGGCGGTTGCAGAAGCTTTTCAACCGTTCCGTCCATAATACTGTACATCTGCATCGAATGGTTTCACCTTCTCGTACGAGTCTTTCCAGAAGGACTGGACATCTGCCACTGATGGAAGAATTCGGTTCTGTCTGGAGCTGCCGAAATTTCGTACCTGTCATTTCCAGGTTGCGTTGTTGAACCTAAGCGACTTCCTTACGGAATAAAGCATAAGCATTATTTGATGTGATTACATTGCGGATACCCTGTGTTCAGGAGCGCAACCAAGGGGGGGGGGGATCAGGAGGTCTGAACCCCCTGATCCCCCTCCCCTTGCTCGTGTCTCTACCAGGGCCGTTTCTAGGAGCGGGCGAGGCGGGCGATCGCCCGGGGCGCAAGCGGGGTAAAGGGGGAGGAGGGGGCGCTAGAGGGGTAAAGGGGGGGGGGGGGGGGGCGCCATTGGAACTTCTTGCCCTGGGCGCCAACACGCCTAGAAACGGCCCTGCTCTCTGCTTCTCCATCCCCCCTCTCCCCCGAGGGTGAGGGACGTAGAAAGATATGAGCAAACGACCTGAGAGCGAGGCTGGAAAGGCGCAGAGATAGGAGGTGAAAGGTGAAGGTCACGCCGGTTGCATGTTTCAACTCACTTTAGTAAAGCGAACCTGTCAAGGAATACGTCCTGCACATGTGACGCTACGGAATTTTTTTCTGAAAACGGAAGGACGACAATTCAAATAAAAGGCGTGAATCGTGCAGGCTAATGAGTTTCCGGTTGCACATCTGCGCAGTGATATTTGGGCTGAATCTCGAAATTAATTTAGTTAATTTTAAGCTTTTTCAGATATCGTTTCACCATTTCATAACATTTTTCTTCGTTTCATTTTCTTAGTTCGCGTGTTCGCGCCGTTTCGAGTTTTTGTTTATATCTCTCCCGATTTGATAACACCTTGTATTCGAAGACATTTGAAAGACAGGTCATGTGAACTTCGAACCCCCTCCCAAATTTTTTAAACCTAAGAGTAATGTGTATACTGGCAAGTTGCGGCTTAAGATCCTTCATGGCATTCAGTGGGGTTTGGAAAGTAAATTTAGCTTGAAGTCTGAGGGGGAATGGCCTGGTAGGGCACACTTAATAGGCACCCAGTGGGAGTACTTTTTTGTCTCAGCTTCAAGATATCCCATCCGATTAGACTCCTCCCTTCTCTAAAGTCTTTCCTTGGAAAGAAGGGAGGTTCCGGAGTCAGTCCCCTTCAGTCATGAGTCTGGCTTGAAAAGCATTTTAATGGCAGAGCAGTGAATTTAGGCTTAGCGCCATGTCACGGCGGGGAAGAGCTCCAACTGGAACGCTTTTGATTCCATTACGAAACCGACAGCAAAATATGAAGAAAATTCAGGAACGGAAAACTTTAACGGTGTTGTGTTATCGGTTGTCCTTACCCTTACGGACAAGATTGCACAGGAACTTGTGCATTTTAGTGAAAGTGGCCCTTTTCAGCCGCAAATATATTATTTCCTAGAAAAGGGGCAGGGCATTCAATGCAAAGTACTTTGATATGTGGCCATGGATTGGATTTCATACTTGGCCCGCGAAAGACGCGGTTTTGTGCCCCCATATGTTGTGCACGCATCTGCAGAGAGGCCTTTCTCGGACTTGAGGCGGCTTACAGAATCGGATGCAGACGACGACGATGACGACACATTAGCGCCTGACAAACGTCGCAATGATGCATGCACATCAAGATATTTCTGATTCCTTGGAATTAGATAAATAGATGAAATATTTTGCAGAGAAAACCGAGGAAAGGAGAATATTTACATTTTAGTTTCACATGAATTTGATGTCCTGATCGTGTTTGAATGAAATAGTAATTTTCCGAATTTCAGAACTGACCTATCTCATTCATCTCATCACTTTCGAGGACGTTCCTACGCCAATGTCGCCACTGTCGCATAGGGTGGGGTCTAGGGAGAGAGAGGGGGGGGGGGGGGGGGGGGGGGGGGGGGGGGGGGCAGAGGGTGTGCTGTCGCAAATGTCGCTATGGTCGCATAAGGTTTGTTCTTGAGAGAGAGGGTGATGGGCTGCTCGTGCGGACAGCGACCCATCACGGGGCCGAAGGAAGTGTGCGACCTGGATTTTGACGCAAAAAAAAAAATCAAACTCTCGAACCTTACTGTTTTGTTTATCTCACGGGAAATGTCAGCCTTTCTACGTACATGGCTATATTTTAAAGCGAAAGTGTCACTTCCTTGGACTATGACGCAATCGCTGGGCCTCGCTCGTCCTCGTCACTGAACCTGCCAGAACATTCTAGACCTTTGGTAGACGACTATTCGGGTAGTAGAAATTCGCATTGAAATCGCGGTGTAGGAGTCAAGAATGGTAATTCATAATTGTATTCTTTAATCACGGTATTAAGTAAGCTTGACGTAATTTTTTTGCAATGGAGTTTGAAACA